GGTTGTGGGAAGGCCCAGACTGGCTGAGACCCTGCCCCACCCCAGACACATACATTTGTATGTTACACTACCCTTTTTTATTCCATCTGCCAAAAGCCACTCCCCACTTTTGGAAAGTCCTCCCCATGACTGGGAGAGTTCTCACAACCCTAACAGTGAGCCAGGCCCCAGATTGGGCTAGCCATAAGGGCTGTTACTCTTCTCTCTGCAGCGACTGGCCCAACAAGTGGATGACAATCCAAACCATCACATCAGAGGCCTCCTATGACAGCTATAAAGCCAAAACTACTGGGTATGTGAGGCCACAGTGGTCAGATTTCCCACCATCTGCAGCATCTCTTCCATGGAAGAGATGACAGCCAACTCATTCAGACTAGCAGAGACAGAAGATGATCAGGTTTGCCAGCAACACTGAGATCCATGGATAGCAGCTCCACCAACCCAGCAATTTCCTATCCATAAGCCAGAATAGTCTCCATTTTTCCCTTGGACATGTGAGTAGGACACCTAAGGCCAGGCAACAAATGAGTTCTAATACACAAATGTGGCTTGCTGTGTAAAAGCCACTAAACTCAGTGCCACAGAAGACATCCAAAGGCTCTGGGACATATGCTATCCAAAACGCAAGGTCAGAGGAGGAGACACCATGGTGGGACACTAGAATACTAGACAGGGTAAAGGAACATTGAGGTACAACAGATACTCAATGGCACAAATGGATACTATCACGGGACCACGGAGCACTGTGGTGGGACAGTGGAGCACCACAACGGGACAGTGGAGCACTGTGACGGGACAGTGGAGCACCACAATGGGACAGTGGAGCACTGTGACGGGACAGTGGAGCAATGTGATGGGACAGTGAAGTACCTTGATGGGACAGTGGAGCACTCTGATGGGATAGTGGAGCACTCTGATGGGATAGTGGAGCACTCTGATGGGACAGATGCACATTGGGATAGGATAATGGAGCGTTGTGATACCACCACTGTGATGAAACTGTGAAGTATTATGATGAAATAGTGGAGCACTCAGGTGGGACAGTGGGGAATTTTATGAGCAGAGCATTGATGAGACAGGTGCACATTGTGATAAAATAATGGAGCGTTGTGATGAATCAGGAGAGTAAAGCGTTGTGACAGAACAATGGAACATTGTCATGGGACAGTGGCACACTGTGATGAACAATGGAGCACCATGATGACAGTGAATCACTGTGAAGAGATAAGAGAGCATGGTGACTTGACAGTGGAAATTTAGGATTGGAGAGCTGACTATTTTATAAGACAGGAAAGCATTGTGATGAGACCCTGGAGCACTGTAATAGAACAGTAGAGCACTATGATGGGATGGTGGAGTACCGTCATGGGATGGTGGAGCATTGTCATGGGACAGTGGAGCACTGCGATGGGATGGTAGAGCATCATCATGGGATGGTGGAGCACTGTCATGGGATGGTGGAACACTGTCATGGGATGGTGGAACACTGTCATGGGATGGTGGAGATGGTGGAGCACTTGATGAGATGGTAGAGCACTGTGATGGGATGGTGGACCACTGTCATGGGATGGTAGAGCACTGTCATGGGGCAGTGAAACATTGTGATGGAGTGGTGGAACATTCTGATGTGACAGTGGAGCACTCTGATTGGGTCAATGGAGCAATGTGACAGAGTGGTGGAGCACTGTGAAGAGAGAGTGAGGCACTTGATAGAGGCACAGGACACTAATGAGACCAGTGAAGGACTGTGTTACAATCCTCAAGTATTGTTTCAAGATACTGCAACTTTGTGATGCTTTGATGTTTAAATGTATTTACTGAAAAACTGTAAGGATTCTACCGAAAAGATACTACTTTCAGCTGGGTGTGCTGGTTCACACCTATAATCCCAGTACATGGCCCACCTGGCTTGCAGAGTGAGTTTGAGGCCTATTCATACAACTTAGCAATATTCTATCTTAAAATGAGTTGTTTAAAGGAGGGAGGGCTGGGCCTAGCTCAGTGGTGCCATTCCTGCCTGGCATGCCCAAAGCCCTAGGTTCAACTCCCAGGTCAACAAAAATAAATAAATAATGACCTCTTTTTATCTCATAAGTCAAATATTTTTAAATTTTTAATTAAGAAAAAAAAGTAGAGACATCCCAGTGCCAACAGTGGATTCTAGAACACCAGTGAAACATTAAGCAAACGTTCCTACCTGCCATGGTCAAACCATTGAGAGCTGTGTCGGAAAGGGGAGCTATGTGCAGTGAGAAAGACCCTAGCTCAGACCTCACAGGACATGCATGCTTCTGTCGCTCAGCCACTAGTCACAGCCTTGGCTACGAAGCACCTGTTTTTCTGCTTACTAAATACAGTCTTGATCAACAGGGACCCAGACCCTTTCCCAGGCCCCTGTCCCATCCATTCAGGCGCCCCTTTCTAGCTCTGTCATTAAACTCCGCCACCACGGTGACAGCTGTACATGTTTTGATGTGAGCGGGAATCGGAGGACGGTTAGGTTCATTTCCTGGGCTTCTAGCCTGTGCCTCCATCCACCGCACACATTCTCCATGGTAACACTCCAGCCACTTCTGGAAGCCCTCAAATATCCTTGCTTAACAGTAATCAAAGGACAGTCCCACCAAGTCAATCAATGAAAAAGCACTCATTAACTGCCTTTCCCCAAGTTAAAAGGTCTCTAACAAGGAGCCATTAAAGGCAGACATTCAAAGTTGTGTTTCCCTGGGCTGTGGGCTAAATTAGACTAGCTGTTTAGCTTGAAGGAAAAGGGCAACGTGTCCTCACCCAGAGCAGGCAAAAGGTCAGCACATTCACCCCTCTGGGAGCCTCACACAGAGTTAGACGAATGCAGGGCGTGAGTGTCTGGGAGTGGGGCGCCCCAGTTGTGTTTCCTGCTTTGTAGTCACGCTGCCTGAGTTCGAACTAAGCTATTTGCGGTGCTCATTAAAGGACAGAACATTGGAACCATTTAAAATCAAATACCCTGTAATTTTCCAAGTCCTGGTGGTTTCCCACAGGCTGAGGAGAAAGAGGTTTTCCAGGCTGCAGCAAGGAGAGTAGAGGGGAAGGGTAGAAAACTGTGCTGAGAAACAAAAGGTCAAGGGGTGGCTGTGAAAGGGAGGTGGCGTTTATTTTCATCAAGTGGAGCCTTTCCCTCCCTCCCTCCTTCCCTCTCAATCTTCCTTCCTTTCTTTCTCTTTCCTTTTTATCTCTAATTTGTGTTTGGAGCTATCCACAAAGTAGGTGACAAAGCTCAACTGAGGGTCCCACCGGGCCACAAAACCTATTAAATGTTGTCAAGCTCTCTGTAGAAACTCCTGTCAGGGAAGCTCTGGGGTTAGGAGGGCTGGAGGTCAGCAGAGTTCACCTGTTACCGGGGATGGCGTGTGCTTCTTCCTCTTTTACAAGATACATGCATTTTAAATATTTGAAATATTTATATAATGGAACCGTGGAGCCGTGCAGTGTGAAGAGTGGTGTCTGTTTGTTTTCTGGTGGCAACTGGGATTAAACCTAGGACCTCCTGCATGCTAAGTAAGTACTCTATCACTGAGTCCCAGCCCCAGCCCCAGCCCCAGCCCCAGCCCCAGCCCCAGCCCCAGCCCCAGCCCCAGCCCCAGCCCCAGCCCCAGCCCCGAGAATAGTATTTCTGAATGTTCCCTCAGATTAAGAAGGTGTAGTCACACAAGCTCCCAGTCACACTGTTCCTACAAGCCAAGCTTTATATTTCTTTAAAAGAAACAAGACAGTAAGAGTTGCAGCTAGTTTGTGTTTAAACAGTTAAAAAACGTTTAAAATTTGATACATTTTCAGGTAAGTTTTGCTCCCTAACAATATTCTGATTCAAATTAAAAAAAGAAAAAAGTCCTGTTAGGGATGTTCCTCAACGGATAGAGAGAGATGGCCTAGTACACCAAAGGTCATGGGTTCAATTCCCTGCACCACCTATAACGGTGGTAGGCACAGCACACAGGCCTGTAATCCCAGTCCTTCCAGAGATGGAGAAAAGGGGGTGGTTCCAAGGTCACCCTCTGCCTGAGTCAGTCTGAGCCCCACTCAGGATAATTTTCACCCCTGTCCAAAAAAGAAAAAAAAACTCCTAGGTATGTCTCTGCATATTATCAGCATATTTAAACTGTGATGAGAAGATATTAAAAATGAGTGGCTAGAAACGCCTTGAATGTTTTGTTTGGAAATGAGATACAAGCTTTGTAATTGCCAAAGTGAATTCTTGCTGTGTTTGGTCAATTGCCTCATTGGTAAATTTCATTTGTTTACTTATGATTTTAATGCTGGGGATTGGACCAGCACCTCTTGAATTCTAGCGTGACCTCTGCAGTGCAGCTATAACCCAGAGAGCCTAGAACGCGCAAAACAAAGAGAAGATTAGTTCCCAACATGAACTGCTGCTAGCTTAAAAGACATGTGAGACTTGAGGAAAAGGTGGATTGATTTCTTAGGGTTTTTTTTTTGGGGGGGGGGGGGTGTTCATCTGTTTTGAGGCCTGAACCCAGAACTTCACTTTGACTTAGTAGCCATTCCTCCATGAGTTCTCACTCCCCTACCACCCCACCCCCCAAAAAAGGAGGTTCTTGATTCCAGGATCCCAGACCAGTAAAAGAAGGTTTGGCTGCAGAGATAAGATCATGTTTTCTTACTAATGAAGGAGGCGTCTCCTCTAATTACACAGACAGGGTCATCCCACAGGGTGCCCTGCCTGCTTTAGGACAGCTGTGGAAAACATCACAGGTTTTTCTACCCTAGGTCTGTATTCCCGGCTCTTCACGCTATCGTGATGGGAGTTCAATGAGCTGACAGAAAACCACCTGCTAAGGGAAGCCAACCTCGAGACCAACCGTGAAGCCTGCAGCCGCAGAAACAGAAGCCTGTATGTGCGAAATTCGGTCTGCCGTGTCTAACAGCTTAATCTGGTGTTGCTCGTTCCTTCCAATCACCCGCCCTCGCCCTAAATAAATAGACTCAACCCAGTTACTCACCTAGACCCCCTTGGCGGATGTCTGTCCGTGTGGCTCCACCAACAATAAACTGAGGGCTGGGACACAGTTCCTGAAAGTAGTTTAGGAGATTAACAAGTCAGAGGGTGCTGTTTAATGGTGGGGGCAGCAGAAATAAAAACATCATGCAGAGCTGGAAGGCTCCTAGCATCTTGTCTACAACCACACATACATGCTTGTCTCCTCTGGTGGGTTTTCAAGACCAGGAAGGGAGGACACCAGAGTCAGCTACCGATCCACAGGACAAAAGCTGGAGCCCAGAACCCCTATCATGCCCAGGATCTTGACTACTGTGCACACTGAGTATAAGAGTGTGAGGATATGTGGGTGTGAAAAGGCTTCAAGGCGTGGTGTGTAGGAGAAAGGCAAAGGCTGAGGTGCTAACACAATGAGCTATGACCCTGCCCATTTGGACAACACCCCTCTTTACACAGAGAGCTGAGTAGAGGTCTGTTTGACAAAAGGCAATGCCCACTGTGGGCATTCCTTAAACACATGACTAAGTAGCAAGGATTTTATAGCTGATCCAATCCTGAGGGTATCAGGGAGGAAGCCAGGGATCAAGGATGAGGTATCAGGGAATACCCATTTCCGGGTACAGCTCAGGTCTGATGAGGTCATATTCCTGCTTCTATCTCTGTCATTTACCAGCTTCCACTTGGCATCTGCTCACATGTGACATCACCCTAGACTAGAAGGGGGGACTCGGAGGCAAGCCTTCAACCCTTCTCTTTTGTTTACGCAGGAAGGCCCTACTGGGCGCCATTCTGAGTCTGGTACCACAGCAGGCAGGGGAGATGGAAGGGTGAGGAAGTGAAGAAACCAACAGGTAAAATCCTGGCTTCTCAGGGCTTTTGGTTTGCATGAGCAAATCAAGCTGACATTATTGGGAAGCAGCTGAACAAACAAGCAAAATGAGCTCATATTAAAAGTCCAGGGGGCATTCTGGATGTCCAGCTGACCACGTGAAGACGACGGTTGCCTGCTAGAAAGGGGGGCTCTGGTGCAGTCTGCAGAGGAGTGTCCACAGAAGACAGTCAGCCTGGACACAAGGCAAATTGTTAAGGGGAAAGGGTGGGACCTCAAGGGACCGAAGGGAACTTGGACTACACTTGCAAACTGATGGGTTACACTCCTGCAAGGGCTGTCTAGCTCCGCAATGAGAACCACTGCTTACGTGGAACGTGAAGAAATAATAGATCCAGCATGATGAGGACGCCAGAGGGAGCTGAACAAAAGGAGTAAAGCCCGCGTGGAGCTGTGACCAGGGATTCTGAGATCCTACTGTAGGAGATGGAACCTTCTGGAGACAGCCCTAACTATATGAACCGGTCAGCTCCTAGCCCTTCTCCCCTAACACCCCATTCTCTTACCCCAAATATTATTTTTCAATTCACAGTTTTGCCAAGAAAGTAATTCTTACTGATAGATAAAATTCTAACAGTAAACAATAAAATAAAAACCCTACCATTTTTACTCTTTATTAACATTTCTAACGCATTCTCCCTAAAACTGTCTTTAATATGATAGCACACTTTCATGCAAGTGCATTTATACACTATACACACACAGTATATACACATATCACACATATACACACCACACACACTATACACACACTATCACATACATACCACAAATATACACACATACATATACACCACACACACACCACACATACTATACACACATACCACCACATACACAAACACTCCACAAACATATACACCACATATACACACACATATACACCACACACACACTGCAGTAAATGAAAAAGCGGTAGCTCTAATCTGCTCTCAGGTACTGAAGAGCTCACATGCTCTAGACCATTATTTCCTGACAACTAAAAGGTGGAGAAATTTGAAAAACTAATTAAAAAATTACAGATTGGAAAATCTTTTCATTCCTTTAAAAGGCAGTAACTTCAAGACAGAAGGAAAGAAAGCATTGAACAGGGTTTGAAAGACTCTCTTTCCTTAAATATTTTTTTAAACCTATCCATCCCTGCTACTATTATTCTGCTAAATGGACATAGTGCTGAACTACCCAGATGCTCACATCTCTGCACCAGAGAGTCTTGCCGCAGGGTTGTGGGTAGTGCAGAAACTCCACTGGTCAGTGTACAGAGGCTCCATGACACTGGAGCGCTCGTCTCCAAACAGGACAGCTAGATCACTGCTCCTCCTTCAGGACTCAGGGGCCATCTCAGAAGGGGTCTGAACAATTGTGTGAGCCAGTGGTTGGAGAGGACCAGAGCAAAACGGTGCCTTCTGGATGTGACAGGAACACGGCACTCAGGAACTTGTGAAGTTGGGTGAGGGTGGAAAGGTGGGGGGTTAGGGTCTGGAAAAGGATGGGGGGGGTAGAGGTAAATGTGACCAGACTCCACTGAAACCACATATGGAATTCTCAAAGAATTAATAAAGGTATTTTTTAGTTCATCCATCACTCCCGTGGAATCTACCTTTTTCCCAGCCCCGTTAGACAGATCTCCTCCATCACTGGTAACCCCAGAGTGAGCATTTTCTACCTCATCTTACTGGCTGCTCCTTAGTGTTTGTTCCCACTCTGAAGGCCTCCCCCTGCAGTGTGTGTCTTCACTAGCTCTTGAGGGCCACATCTCTCGATACATCACCCCGGTTTCCTCTGTGGACTCCTGTTTCCTCACCCTAGGAATCCAGGAACCCCTGGACCTGGTCCTCAGCCTCTATTCTGGCCCCATTTCCTCGTCAGTTGTATCCTTCTGAGCAAGGCATTAGCGAAATCGTTCAAACTCATTCCTTCAGCTACTACCTATAGATGATGCTGATGCTTCAGGGTGACACCCCTGCCCTTTCTGCTCAATTCCCTGTCACACTATCCATGTGACAGAAACAAAAAGACACTCACATCCAACAAATGTGCGAAGCTTTGCTACAATTTTAGGTTCAGGAAGAGAGAATGTTGGCAGAGGCTTCAGTTTAAAATGCTGCCTGTTGGTCAGGAGGTAGAATTTTCATTTTAATATGTGTTATTCACTAATTATAATGCAAAATGTTCCCCACCCCACCCCCCAAAATAACCATGACTGGTATATTATATGGATCCTTCAAGGGTCACATAAAATCCTCATTTTACAATTCACAGGGAGATAAGACTCCTTCAGGACACAAGAACTTACTGTGTGCCTTCTCCCCCATTAAACCTCAAAGCAGAGATAGAAGAGACAGACAGTTGGAGAAACTTAAAATATGGAGGACCATGCAGAAGAAAAGCAGCCCCCGTCTGCCTACATTTTTGGAGTGCTATTTTTTTTCTTCTTTAGCACCAGTCACGTGTGTTCAGGATGATGCTTCCTGGCCATCAAGAGATGACCCCAAGCACCCCTTATCACAAACTACCCAAGCCTTCTGCCAGCCCTGGAAAGATGGAAAGACAGGAAACAGTAGTCCTTACTTCCTGTAAGGAACTCAAGATAGGAAGTACTATAAAAGTTCACACTCTCTCAGAAGTGATGGCTACTCAGAAAGATTCCTCTCCAGGACAGTGTCACTGGTAGACTTGGCTTGGCATTCTTAGAGCTCTGAATTGTCCTGTCAAGAAGCCCAGTGATGCCCTTGCCCTCACTCCATCACCACATCCCAGAGCCCAGCACTTCTGACCTTCCACCATCTGGTCCACGATGTTTCTAGCTTCGCCTGTTTCCCACCATGTTTTATCTGCTCTAACGACCATGGAGCACAGCCTTCTCAGAACACTCTGTCTTGCATGCTCTTCCACAGCCCAGTGCCTTGGCTCACATCCAAGCCTTCTCCTTGATCTCACCTATGACCGCTCTCTCCACCAATTCCAGCTTAATCATCTTTTATAATTTTCCTGTCCAATTCCACAGTCAAGCATCACTGTTTCTGCCCCATCTCCCATCCATGTTGTTCACTGAATAGTTTTCTCTCCGGCCAGTCTATCTTGTAATGCTATCTAGAGATAACTGACTTCCCAAGCATTTACATATTCTTTCATCCAGATTTCCTCATAACCCAAGGAGGTGGGCAGTACTAATATTCTCACTTCATGCATAAGGAAACGGGCTCTCAGCGAGGTTAGTAGCTTATCCGCAGTCACTTCGCTGCTGAGTGATAGATAAGGGGCCATAACCTGACACCCAAGCCCATGTTCTTCTCTACTCAAGTGCCTCCCAGTTGTCTGCCTATTTTCTGCCCCCCCCCCTTAACTAGTGAAAGCTCCTCGAGGTACCTCCCAGCCCAGGACAAGTACACAGCAAACCATGACTGAATTGGAAACTCCAAAGCCACGAATGTAAGAGGAAGCAGCTGGAGAAAGAATGGAAGCTCCAGAGCCTTCCACCACCCATTAACCTTCCGACAATTCAACCCCTCCATATGTCTCTCAGCTGGAGTCCTTATTAGAAGCCTAGCATGGCTTCACTCCTGACTCCATATTTCTCCTTCAGATCAATAAACTGCTTAATTGTCAGGAGTGGGGGACACTCCAGACAGAAAAGAGTATTGAACAGGCTGCACTAAGTCTGTTCACACTGGGCATTATGCGCTTCGCGGGGGCTTGGGATAGACACTGAGCCCAGATGGTGAGGCCAGGAGCTAAGAGCCCTGGGGACCAGCATGGCCAGCCGCTGTCTCTGTGGGCAGGCTGTTGCTCTTACCCTACATATACAGAAAAGCCCTAGGGGATTTCACCCTTCCAACAGCAAGTTCTTCCTGAGAACCCAGGTCTGATCTTGCAGCCTTGATCTAGACAAATGTGTCTTCCATTCCTTGGGACAAGAGCCTAGGTGGATCTCCTACTTAGAAGCTTAAGAACAGGCAGAAACAAAACAACTATAGCCCTCCTGGTTGTGTATCCAAAAGAATCAGAACTAAGACAGTGACACCTGAACATCCACGTTTTCTGTACATTAATCCCATTTGTCATGATAGGGAAGCAGCCAAGCTATCCATGCACAGATGAATGAATAAAAAAGTATTGTATATTTATACAGGGGAAGTATATGTGTGTGCGCAATGGAGTATCATTCATAAAGAAGATGAAAATCGTGTCATTTGTAGAAAAAATGAACAGAAGAAAAATCGTCATTTTAAGTGAAATAAGCCCAACTCACAAAGAAATGTGACCTATTGTTCCATGTACGTGGACTTGGGAAGGTGGAGAAGTAAAAGGGTGGCTGTCAGGATGTGGACAAGGAAATAAAACACCTTTATTTTTTGTAGAATTGCTAGGTTAAAAAAAAATGGTAGTTCCCAAACTAAATAAAGAGTTATTCTCAAAAGTAGCAAGGCAAACAAAGAAACAAAAAAAGCAAACAGAACCATTGAGAAAGAGGCAAAGGGCTTGAACGGGCATCTCTCTAAAGCCTACACCAATGATGTATTAGGGCAAAGATGAAAAGATACAGCCTCCATAATCATCAGGGGAATGCAAATGAAGACCACAGTGGGACCACACCCACTCCTCCTCTCCATTCTCCAGCTCTAATGGAACCTTCCATGACCCTCAGTAACCCTATGTCTCTCAGCAGCGATGCTATCACAGTTTGCCCACAACTGACTGTATCTAACCTTGGCTTGTTCCCCTCTGTGCTGGCCTGGGGGCACTATGAAATCCTAAATACCACGTGTTCTGTGCCTATTACACGCAGGGCAATTACCCTCCAAGATTAACTTCTAGTTCTCAAAACAAGACTGACACACAATGGTTCCCCCAGTGCCATTTTAAGGGAAAACTGAAGCTCAGAGAGATTAAACTGCCTGCCAAAGGCCGCATCAGCAGAGCTACTGCTGCGATCTCCCTTGTCCGGCTCCAAACGTGTATATGTTCTTCCTCAGAAATAATTTTAGAAAGCAAGGTGGAACCCGAACTACAGGATCTGAAAATGAAATCTACCACATCACTTACTTCAACTCTTGACCAGATGTGACAGCCCTCCACCCTGTGTGACAGTCAACTGTGCCTTACCGTGGGTCGCTTCCATATGATGCCTTGAGTTTGGGGGGATCCAGGCCCGAGATCCCTGTAGCCCAAAGCTGATGGACACGCTGGAAACTCTGGATCTTTAAACAGCACCCCTGAGTTCAAGCATTGTTTTCTCAGGGTCTCAAAGTCTTGGCCCAAATACTTTACAGCATTCTGGTTAGAGCCAAGCCCTTTAGAAGCTGCACGTTGCTTGGATACTCCAGCTGCCAGGGCTGCCATGGCCTGGCTGTGAACTCTGTAGGGTGTGCAGAAAAGCAGGGCTTCTGTGACCTCTCAGACATCTGCCCTATGGGCCCGCTCCCTATAAGGGAGCAAGCAGGGAGGTGGAGCGTGTCAACTTTTCACCTGAGGGAGGTCCTGCTCCAAAGAGGCATGAGTCATAAACAGGATCAAATATGTATTCAAGGTGCAGGTAAATCTGCCCCACCTTCTCCTGCTGTTCACAAATGATTCAGAAGTCACCAGAAGTTGGATAGGGCAGGGTCTGGGTCCTTCCCCAGAGCCTCTGTGAGGAGTGGCCCTGCCTGTACCTTAGTTTTATTCTAGTGGAAATAATTTAAGGCTGTGGGTCTTCAGAACTTAAAGAGGATAATCCTCCGTTCTTTTTATTTTTATTATGCATGGTGCTTTGCCTGCATGTACGCCTGTGCAGTACAGGAGGCCAGAAGAGGGCGCTAGAGTCCTCTAGAACTGGAGTTATGGACAACTGTTAGCTTCCATGTGGGTCTAGGAATCAAACCCAAGCCCTTTGGCAAAATAGGCATTGCTCTTAACCTCTGAGTCATCTCTTCAGTCCCAACTTCTACTCTTCTCAGTTCCTACACATATTTTTATTTGTTACAGAAGACACAGGCAACTAATACAACATGACAAGAATCCTCGGGACCACTTCTTACACCACAGGTTCTCTGATAGCCACTATCTCTGAGGGAGTTCTGGGGGCACTGTAAGATGCCTCAGTGGGTAGAGGACTTGCCATATAAGCAGGAGAATCTACACTCAGAGGTAGAGACAAGAAAATAATAAGTTCAAGTCCCTCCTAGATTACATAGTGAGTTGAAAAGTCAGCCTGCATTGCATGAGATCCTGTCTCTAAAATGAAAAAAAAAATAATCATGATTTGTAGATCTGGGGTAAGACTCAATAATCCAGTCTTTAGACCATTGCCCTCAGATGATGCTAATGCAGGGTTCATGCTGGACTCTGAACCAGGTGGCCTGCATCTCCTCACCTTCATGCTGACAGGAAGCCGTGTGTCCAGCCCTGAGCTGGGTGCTTCTAAGCGAGCAGAGAGCACGGTCACCTCCCAAGGCATGAAAAAGAAAAGAACTTGGATTCTAAGGATTCCTCAGAAAAACAAGGTCGGAATGACCTTCAGAGGCTCAAGTCAATTATCTGAAGAATCTGCTCCCCCTATGCCTCGGAGTCTCCCTTGATCCCCTCAAAACTCCTTTCCTTTGAATCAGTCCTCGCTCGCTGTTCAGCTCACTGAGCATTCACAGCTAGATTTTCACCCGTGCACAACACCAACCCAGCCTTTCTTTAAACCAGAACCCCAACTCCACCCCATCCCTTGAAGTTGCTTGGAACACGGAAGATTCTAGAAGCCCAGCGCCTCTGAGTGTGTAGTCGGGGAAGAGTGTATTCTTGTTTCTCTGTCACCTAAGTGTCTGAAGTTCATCATGAGTCACAAGGAAGAATGTGGTCTTTCTGAGTCCAGGTCTGACGTCACCAGCCAGCTTAGAAGGGAGTGGGAATCTGCGTGCACTGGCCTTGCTGACTTAGCAGCCTGGCTCCACGTCTCTCCTTCCTCCACGTTCTGCCCCAGAAGGTCTGCTTTCTGTTTATGGGAATCATGCTTGCCCCTCCTCAGGGCTTTGCACGTGCTGCTGCTGCCAACTGAAATGTTCTTCTGCTCTGCCTCGGCTCGTCTTTCACACCTGCGCCCCAGAAAGGTTTTCCTCAACCCCATCCCTCAAATTTAGCCACCGCCCCCCTTTTATGCTATCAGATGAGTATGCCCAACATGGACTCTTGCAACCAGGGAATTAAAGCCCCTCTGCCCTATCGGACTTGGCATCCCACAAGGACACTTATCAGGGCTGGTTTTATTTGTCATTCAACCCTGGATCCGAGGACACTCCCAGAAACTCAGTTTAATGTTTGATACATGAAGAAACAACCGCATATCAAGGTACCCAGTAGCTGAATAGCTCTAAGCCAGATATAACAGAACCGGCAACCCCATGCAGGGTCACTAGTTAATTAATAAAGACCTCAAGGAGCGTTTTTCTGTCTGCTTCTTTCCTATGCTTCACCAAACCGTTCTTCTCAGACTGACAGAAATGAGCAAGCCCTTCTTCCTCCAAATACAGAAGCAGCGCAGCTGGTAATTTTGCTTCCCCATGAGGGAGTACCTTCGGGGTTTGCCATCTAGCCTGCCTTCCTAAATTGCCTCACTTCTGATCCAGATACTGCACCAACAAGCCCTTCCTCCTCGTGCAGTCAGGTCTGAGTGGCTGCAAATAGAGCCCTCGCTTGCCCAGTCACGAAACAAGCGGCAAGTGGAGGAGGGAGGCCTTGTTCACCAGTCCCTCTTGATCAGACAGCCAGTGTCTACCTGCGATCCAGCCAGGCACCAAGGAGGAAGCAGCCTGTCCTCACAGCCTCTGCCCATCTAAACAGATGTCTTCCCTACTTCATGCCTGAGACAGCTGCAAGAGCCAGAGCCAGCTCCCTGCCAGGAAACCTCAGGATCCATTACAGAGGCAAGAAGTCTGTGCAGACACCTGCCTGGCAGCCCCTACTTAATAAGAACACCTCTTGGCAAACAGCCCAAGTGCATAGCAGCCAAGTCAGCCCCTGAACCTTACCCACAGGCAAGCCCTTCATGACTGCAGGGAGTCAGGCAGAAGTACCCCCTCAACGAGAAAGATGTATCACCCTCGTTGCACCCAAGGGCCCAAGTACGCTTCTTGGGCAATTAAAGTTTGCAAAGCCTGTTGTCTGGCATAACTGTAGCACTGGAAAAGGGGTGGGCAAGAGCTGGCAGATTTGTCCCCTGAGTCTCCCGTGTTTAGAATGCTAAGGGAAGCAAGGGTTGGACTCTGCGTCAAGAGCATTTTGGGGTTCTCATATGTGGCTGGCAGAAATGGAAACCGGTACAGATGTTTTGGGAAACAGTCTGGCAGTTTTGCAAAATGCCAGACGTGGAGTTGCATGGTAACTCCCAGCAGCACTTCACAGTTAGCAAGAACTGAAAGAGAATAGAAATTATATGTCTGTTCAAACCTTGTCCACGGATGCTTGTACAACTAGGAGTTCTTCACAATAGCCGAAGGGTAGAAAGAAGCAGACACCAATCAGTGGGTGAGCAGATAAACAAAACGCAGTAGTACATCCAGAGAACAGAATAATATTTAGTCATAAAAATGTGTGCAGTGCCCAGGTGTGGTATCACATAAACCTGGGGTCTCAGCACTTGGGAGGCAAAGACAGAAGGTTCATGAGCTCAAGGATAGCCCAGATGACCCAACAAGACCCAGTGGCTGGCAGGAGGCAAGGGGAGCTCACAGTACAAGACCCATCAAGGCCCTGAATTCCATTCTCCCAAGAGTGAAATATTGCTGCATGCATGAAGACTTTATGCAAATTAAACAAAGCTAATCACCAAAGACATGTCACTCTCGGAGTCACTGTAATGAAACATCTAACAACCAAGTTTCAAGGTTTTCATTCCTTATGGCAGAAGGAGCCTGACAACTTCCATCATGGCCGTCCCAGAGCAAGAATGGCTGCCCTCTAGAAGGCTCTCCCTTTTGTCCGCCCCATTTTCTGGGTTTCCAGCCTGCAGGATGGTGCCATCCATATTCAAGGCAGGCTTTTTTTTCCCTTTAGTTAGCAGTCTCCAGGAATGCCTTCACACACCCAAAAATGCTTTATTCATCTCTTAGGCACTCCTCAATCCAGTCAAGTTAACACTAAGATTAACCATCATGTCCAGTTAGGTGAGACTTCCAAGGCTGGCAAAGCCGTAGAGACAGAAAGTGACTGCCGGGAACCGGGAAGATGGGAGATTGGAACTGACTGGGACAAGGTCCACAGCTTCCTTTTGTGGCGATAGACTTAGCTAGAGGCGATGGTTGGACAACTAAAAGTTATGCCTTAAATACATGCCTGAAAATGATGGTGCCTGTGTCGTGTGGAGTATATCTCCAAACAAAATCTAAATAGAGCTGGGCATTGTGACTCACACTTGGAATGTCAGCACTCAGGAGAGGCTAAAGCAGCCCGAGTTTCAGAGTGAATTTGATACCAGACTGGATGGCATAATAATGAGGTTGAGGGTTTGGGAGGAAAGGACAAAGGCGGGGGAAGGGTATGAGGGAGGAAGGAAGAAAAATATTACATAATGGAAGGCTTGCGATGATCTGAGTACAAGGCTGGCTTCTCCCCTGCCCAGGACATCAGATGGCCCATTATGCAGCAGACTTCTGGGGCTACATCCAAAGCCTTCTCTAGCCACACCAAAGAAAATAGAAAGCTGACCAAGTGACAGTATTGGGGCATATCCCTCACCAGGTCTGTGAGATCACTCATGGCGCCTTGGGGCTATAATTCAGACCCTCATCCCTGGCAAAAGGGGAGCCAATCAAACCCAGCTGAGAGACCAGCTAAGATTGCCCTCCAGTGGTCAATGCAGGTCCTGCTGAACCACTGTGGCTAAGGGAGAGGGTAGTACACCATTCATTGAAATAAACTAGTTCTACACAGAGCTAATATATTGATTGGATGATCAGACTCACAAGCCCACAGCCAGACTCACCCAAGATCACTCAGGTAGCCAATTTGAGGCCAAGCCTTCTTATTTGATATTTTGTTACCTTCCCACTACTTAGGCCTACAATTTCCAAGGCATCTGAATAACAGGCAGAGATGGGATGCACCATTCACAAGATCACTAAGAGGACAGAGGGTACAGATGGGAAGGTGTGGTAATATTTAGTTTGTGCTCCAACACATACAGTTTTCCTGAAGTTCAGAAGGTAGAACCAGCCACTAGTTAACCAAAGAGGCCAGTCAGTGGAGGCACACATCTTTAATCCCAGCACTTGGGAGGAGGAAGCAGAAAGATCAGGAGATCAAGGGCACACCAGGCTACATAAAATTTAACCATCTAAAAGAGAAATGGAGCGCACACCTTTGATCCCAGCAGTTGGGATCTTACACCTTTAATCTCAGCACTAGGGAGGTGGAGACA